CTCCGTCCTCCGTGAGCTGCTGCTTCCAGGGCTCGGCGGCCAGCGGCGCCTCCTGCGGCTGCAGGCGGATCTCGCGCAGCTCCTTCACCATCTGCTCGTACTCCTCATCCTTCATGGAGTCCAGGCCGCTGTCGTGGCGATCGTCCACCAGCCGTTCTTTCTTGAGGCCATCCCGCGGGCCCTCCATGGCCCAGTCCTGGCCTTGGCCGACCGGCTGAAACATGGCTGCGCGGGGCTGCGTGCGGGGCTGCGCGGGGCTTGCAAGCTGCTGGCTGCTGGGCTGCGAGTTCCGACTGTTGTAGGCTCGCCAGCGCCGCCGCGGCGCCCTATAAACGCTGGCAGGGGATTTCTCAGGGGCGGGGTCAGGCGGGGGAATTTCCAGCCAGTCAAACTAGAAAAAGAACTGGCTCGGTCCTGGACTGTGGAGCCTAAGCCTAAACCCAGGGCTGGGGTTCATTGGAGAAACTCCCTGGGATGAGCCACTGGGGTCATGTACGGGGAACTTTTTGATGAGCCCTGAGTGGCTGGAAAGTCCTCCCGACCAGCCCCCCTCCCCTCTAGGTACTTCCCTGCAGCCTGCACTCAGTAAACCCAGGCCTCTGCAAGAACCCTTCTTTCCCTGGGGTTTCCCACCGTCCGTTCGATGTGGGGTCCTGAGCTGCTGAGATCCCAAGGACGCAGACCTGCTGGGCGGTTCCTCTTCGCGACTTGCCACTCTGCAGGTCCTTTCCGATTTTTGATCTTTTGAAAACCCAAGAGTGGAAACGCTGGCTGGCTGCAGGGATTCGCTTCTCTTAAATTTCTTCGAGGAAGGACGGATGAGTGGTTCTAGGCCGTCTGTGTTTTGCCCATTCCAGGCTCTTAGTAGTGCAGGGACATTTGGCTGCCCCCCCCTCACCTCTATGAAGCTGGGAAGCTTTGACATTAAAAACACCCAAGCGCTTGGAGAACCCCTAGATCATTTTTCTAGGGGTCGATAATCTTGTCCCCTGGGGGAGGGCAAACTCTAGCTCTGTATGGGGAAAAGTGCTAATAGGAACCACATTTTTTTTTTTCAAGTTAGGCAAGGTGTTAGTCTTTGTAGTAGTTGTAGCTTCCTAGCAACAGTAACTATTGATGAGTTCTTGTGTCCAATTTACTTCTTACTGCAGGGATGGAGGCTGAGCTTATGGGGAGTGCCTAGCAGAGGAACTGGGTTTGTAATTTAGCCAAGGCTGGCCCTTCAATACAGCTAAGAAAGTAGCTGCAAGGCATCCTGTTGGAGGCTCAAGGCTGTCCTCGCAGTGACCACATCTGAACCCTGCTGGCTCTCCCAGCTTCCGCTACTCCCCAGAGAGAGGGACTTGAACCTGTGACCCTCTATTCCACCTGCAGACATAGAATGGCTGCTTCTACCCCTTCCCCACCTACAAGCCTGCAGCTGTGAGCCAAACTCATTAACTTCTCCTAGAATTAGCGCAGGAAAAGTAAGACAGATCGGAATTTGTCAGAAACAGACCCAAGAGGCCTCTCTAGTTCTGCAGATGTCTGACGAGAGTTGAATGATCTTCCTCTTAATGAGCCATATACCAACTCACCTCTCTCTTCATAATTCCATCCCTCCCCCAGTACATGGATGTGAGGACCCTGGGGAAAAGATGTAAAATCCAGGGAAAAACAAAACCCAAACCCTCGAGATAGAAAGGATGATATGTTATAATGAAAACTTCCCCAGCGAGTTCTTTTCAACTCAGGCTTGGTCTGTAAATTTGCAATTGTTGAGGTGAAGTGGGATTGATTGTAAGGAGACCTCAGTTCCAGGCGCTATCTTTCATTAAATACATTAGATGAAGAAGTAGCTTACCTTTTTTTCTTTTTGGATGCTATGCTTGTTTTTTTATAATAGTGACATTGGATTTGTGTTGGTGAGGTGATTTGAGGCAGGGTGTACATTGTAGTCCTAGGTTGGTCTGAAACTCACTGTGTTGTCCAGGTTAACCTGGCATTGTTAGTAAAGACTTCTTCCTCAGCCCCCCTGAGTGCTGGGATTGCAGCTGTGAGCTGTCAGTCCTGGCATTTTGGAGATATTTTGTGGCTTCAAAATTGTGTCATTTGTCTACAGAGACATGCCCCAGTCTGCACTGGAAGTATGAGCATGGGCTTTTGGAAGCATCACAGTGTAAATTTTTGGAGGATCCCCAGCCCTTTATGCCTCACACTGTTCTCAGAAGTAATGTTGTAAGCCAGGTGTGGTTCCCATTTTCCTAAAAAGAAAGACGAAATACTAGAATTTACCCAGGCACCCCATGACAGCTTATCTAATCTCTACCACAATATAGTAATCATTTTGCTAAAGTAGATGTCATGTTAATGCTTGGAAACACCTTGCAAGAGAAAAAAAGAGACAAAATATAGGGCAATTTGGAATATACTCAAAGTATTTAACTGAGTTCGAGGCCAGTGTGGCTAACATAAGATCTGTCTTGAAAACCCCTTTCCTCCCTCGCGACCCCTCAAAAGTATTTTCTCTTCCACCTGGGATGCAAAGTTGAGGGTATGCACTTTTCTATCTGGAGATTAGTTCTTTAAAAGTGTATAGCAGGAGCCAGGTGGTGGTGATGCTAATGGCAGCGGAGTGGCACAGTCTTTAATTCCAGCATTTGGGAAGCAGAGGCAGGCCAGTCTCCAAATCTGAGGCCAACCTGGTCTACCGAGTGAGTTCCAGGACAACCAGAGATACACAGAGAAATCCTGTCTCAAAAAAAAAAGAAAAAAAAAGTATAGCAGGGGTTGGAGCAATGGCTCAGCCCAGCCCAGAGTACTGGCTGCTCTTCTGGAGGACCTGAGTTTGATTCCTAGCAACCACACGACTTTGGGTACCAGGCAACCAATGTGATGCACATACATACAGGCAAAGCACTGATACATGTAATATTTTTTTAAGTAATAAAAGCTTTAAACCATGTATCCTATTTTAATGTTTATTTTTAAACAATGTATCCTAAAGTTTAGTTAAATTTTAATACATTACTTTAAACAATATATCCTAAATTAAACTTTGTAAAAAAAAATTACTACAGTTCGAACTCAAAGCCCTACCTATAAAAGGTGCATCAGAGGATGATTTGGGGCTGCAAGGATAAAAATGAAGGAGTATGTGTGTTTATGTGTCCTTTGAGATTTCCTGTCCCTACCACCTCAGGCCTTTTGATCTACGTCCGTATTGTTTAGTGTGACACCTAGTGGCAGGAGTTAGACCCTTTCTGGGTCATGGCAAAGCCTTTTGAAACTTTGGGAGGGGCTGAACCTATATGACTTATCCCTCCCTGGGATTTCCCAGGGAGGTACCTTTTGTTTACCTGCTGCCAGGGAGATGCGTGGAATAAAGTGAGCCGGCAGGTAGTCTCCCCATATGGCTTAAGTCAACAAACGGTACAACTTGGGGGAAAAGAATATCAGAACCATAAGCAGGTTTGCATGCGGACACACGGAAAGGAAGGCACTAGACAAAGAAAGCATCTGGCTTTTCAGCGCTGAGAGAACTTGTGGATCCTTCCGTACTTTAATTTTCTCTCATTGGCAAATATTTTATCTAAGGTTAACCACTTTTAAAATGTTAATGCTTTATGTGACATCTATCTATCTATCTATCTATCTATCTATCTATCTATCTATCTACCTATCTATCTATCTACTGGGACGAGTCTCACCATGGGGCTCTAGTTGGGCTCTAGCTACAGTCCTCTTGCCTTGGCCTCCTGTGCACTACTATGCCCAGCCCCGGCTCTGTGTTTGTGTGTGCACAGCTGGGAAATGACCCCAGGATCCCTTGCAAAGGTGCTAAACACATACTTTGCCACTGAACTACACCTCGATCTTTTTTTTTCTCTGTTTAATGCAGAATGCAAAAATAATAAGTTGTACCTTGTAGCGACTTAGTGCTTTAGGCCGGGATATAGCCTCTGGCAATGAAAAGGTAGCCAGAGGCACTGTGGGGCTTGTGGACTGGGCACTTCCACAGGGAAGGGGCATTGTTCAAGCTTCCTGAATCCTCCCCGGTGAGACGAAACCTCCCACCTTCATGGAGACAGATTACAAGTTCAGCCAGGTGCTCCAACTTTTCCCTTCTCTGCTCCTCCTCCCCCCTCCCCCAGCTATGGGCAGGCTGGCTTGTGCCAATTGGCCAATGTCTGAAATTGTTTTGTCCTCTGTCAGCAGAACTCCTGAATGCGACCACCCATCATCCCCAGTGGAACTGGGCTGGAAGACAGAGGAGCAGGAGACCTAAGGAGTAGGCATGGGAGACATGCTGTATGGCCAACCCTGCTGAGACAGTGTGAAGCCAAATGTGCCTCTGTCTCTAACCCAGACTTCTGTGGTGGCTAGCATCCGCTCTGTCCGACCCTGGAAACCCCACCCCACCCCCAGCTATGGATCTTTTCCCACAGAAAGGCAGCTGTCAGGACTTCCATTTGCACCGAGATAAAAATAAACCATCCAAGCCTTCGTGCGCTTCCTTTGCTGCAAATCTTACAAAGTAATGGAGATCAAAGCCTTGGAGGATGTCAGCCACCTACGGGGGGGAGGCCAGGCTGGTCTCACAGGAGGGTCCGGAGGAAGCGGTGGGTCGCAGCAGCCCGCACCTTTTTTAACTTCCCTCCTTTTGAGGTCAGGCCGAGTTGCTCTGATGGGCTGGGAGTTCAGTTCATCTTCAATTTGTCAAATGAATCTTGATGTGGAGTTTCCCAACTTCGAAGATATTACGACAGCCAGTCCTGGTGGCCCGAGTTTGTAATTCCAGCTACTCAAGAGGCCCAAGGCAGGAGGATCAAAAGTTCAAGACCTGCTTGGACTACCATTGAGTTCAAGGCCAGCCTAGACTAGTGAGGCTTGCACTGAAGTACTATGTAAAAGGGGCCTGGGAAGAGAGCACACAGCTAAGGCGCTGGCCTATCATGTGTGATAATTGAAGCTTATGAAAGCCGAAGCTGGTCCTAGCACTCAGAGGGAGAGGCAGGCAGAGCTCTGAGTCGGAGGCTGGCCTAGTTCACAGAGTGAGTTCCTGGGCTGCACAAAGAAACATTGTCTCCAAAAACCAAAAAGTAGATAAGACAGTTCCAGCACTGAGGGGGAAGGGGACACCAGGTCCCACTCCTAACCAAGAAGCTTTGTGCAATTGCTACCTGCTGGCAAAAGGAAAATCAGGTTTCTCCAAAGGAGCGTCCCTGGGTGTATCAGCCACACTCCAGGGTGGGAGTAGATGGTTAACACAAAACAAACTGTTCTGTTTTTGCTTTCATCTTTATTTTTGTTGTATGTATATTGTTGTTTTGCCTGAATGTAAGTCTTTGCACCACGTGTATGCGCTGCCTACAGAGGCCAGAAGAGGGCGTCAGATCCCCTCTGGGACTTGAGTTTTAGGCAGCTGATTTGTCTGTGGGAGCCAGGAACGGAACTCAGGTCCTCCGCTGAGCCCTATCTCCAGTCCCCATGTTTTTATTTTGTTGTTGTTAATGTGTGTGAGAGAGCTTTTGTTTCATTTTGTTGCGGCAGGTTTTGTCTTATTGTTTTCTGTTTGTTGTTTTTCACTGAAAGAATACAAATTCTTTAAAAAAGGAGTGAAATGGCCATGCTGCCAAGCAGGCGGTATGTTTCCTTGAATAGAAAAACCTCCAAACCCCACTCACAGAGGACACCTTCCAGCCAGCAGCGTGAACTGCAGCGGCCTCAAGTCTTACAGCTGATGAATAGGGGCCTTTCCATTGTAACCGTTCTCAGGTGTGTAGCGGGATCGCATGTAGCTTTAATTTCTTCGTCTGTAACAACAGTGTCAAATACCTTTTTTATAAGCATATTTGCTATCTGGATATCTATTTAGGCAGTTTTATACATATATATGATGTAATGTAATTATAAAAGGCTTATGAAGCCCAAACAATGGGCTTTTCCACATCTTTGGCTAAGTTAGTGCCCGGGCCCTGAGATAGCCTCTCCATTTACCAATGGTATGATGTGAGTGATTGTTTGGGGAAGCTTCTAACTGCTACTCCCATGTCTGCTTCTCTGTGTGTGTGTGTACACGTGGATGCATTCGTGTGTGTGTGTGTGCATGGTCGTGTGTGTGCATGGTCGTGTGTGTGCACGTGTGCGTGTGTGTTCCATTTACAATGTGCAAGACTGCTCCTGGCAGACAAGGTCAGGACTAGAGACTCTGAGCCCTGAAAAATGTCCCTCCTCCAAAGCAGCTTTGAAATCCTGCGTTGTAGAACACAAGTCCAACATTTGTTCTGATTTTTCTCACGAGGACCACTTGTTCCTACTTTAAAGCCTTCTTTCGGGGAACGCCCGGGCCTGGCTTCCCTCCCTGGGGAAGTTGCTGCAGGGGCGGGAGGAGACCTGCGGTGTCAGCCTGGGCCAGAACTGGTTCTCGCTTTCTCTGCTTGTTGACTGTAACCTGGCAACAGGTACAGGTGTGTACGATTTGGTTAGCCACTGTTGTTCGGGGGAGGGGAGCTCGGGTCAGGAATGCCCTGGAGGTTTCCCAGCACGTGGCTTCCTCACGTGCGGGTGCTGTTTTCAGGTGTAAATTCATTCTGAGTTTAGTCAGGGGAGGAGGAGGCTTAGAAGGAAGGCGTATCCTACAGAGAAGCCTGGTACCTGGCAGGTCTTATGTAGACGGAGGTTCCTAAGTTTGGGCGGCATAACTAGGAGAAGGGCCTTTGATACTTACTAGCTCCATGGTATAAGCCCCGCCCAACAGCAGAAAGTGCTGGGAGGGTCTGAGCCCCTCCCCTCATGCTCTAAGTTTGGGGAATGGTTTGGACAAAGAGAAACAGGATGGAGGTTGCTGAAAGATGGCTTTCGACTAGAGTAAGGGGACCTTGACCTCAGTGCGTTCCTGGGAGCAGCTCCAGGCCTCGCTTTCCACACTGGTTTCTGGAGCTGGTCCTCCCATCACTGGGGTAAGCAGTAGTCTTGTCTCCAGGGCTACCGCTGGGGGGAGGGTACCTGTAGAAACAGAGTCTGAAAGCCATGGTTAGTTAATTGTTACACACTCAGGGCAAGGGGCAGACAGAAGCGGAAGAGTCATAGCTGGAAGATGTGAGCAAGGAAGACATACCTTGGCCTGGGATGTTGTTTTCTTTGTTACTCGGCCTCAGCTGCCGCAGTCCAGTCCCATGACTGTCATGTTCCCTCTAGATAAGTCATTTAGCTGGGCTCAGGGATGCTCATCGTTTCCTATAGACTAGGGCTGCTTCAACGCTGAGGTTCAGGGCATACTAAAACAGTGACATTTTCAGAAAAAAAAAAAAAAAAGAGAGGTGAATTGGAGTGTCATTAAGTCACTTGAGGCTAATATTTGAAAATGGAGCCAGTTTGCCAGACCGGGAGAAACAGGATACAATGAAACTTCAAGGGGTCATGAGGAAGCTGGGTGGGGCTGTCAGCATGGGCATGGATCTTGACAAGTAATTTTTGTGGGTTTAAATGTGAAGAGAGCAGGGAGGACAAGCTCTACAAGAGTAGAATCCGAGTCCCATGTTGGTACTGCCATCTTGAAGGACTCAAGTCCACCCTCAGGTTGCCAGGACATCTGGAGAGCACCGAGCTGGACTTGAGGGCCGGGAGCACGGGGAGTGGGGGCGGGGAGGGCACACAGGAGGAAGAGCATTTCCCTGGGAAGCTGACTCTCGGCTTACTAGAGAAAGCCAAGGTGAAATTCAGTCGCCAAGAGGCACGCAATGCACATGGTGCTGTCTGCAGCGACATCTTCTGGTCATTTTTGGAATGATGCCTTTGAGGAACGGAAGTCATAAGGGAGCCGGTGGGTGGGGGACATGCTCTGAGGCTGGATATCACAAACTCAAGAAAAGACCTCGTTTTGCCTGGGACACTCGGCCCTGCAGTTTTTAGCCACATCTTAGGTCACTGACTATTTTGAAATGGCACTCAAACACCATCTCTATCCATTTTCACTGCTTTGCACGGCAGGGTTGTAGGTATGGAGCCCAACGGAACGTGTGATCCTCTTGCTACAGCGTGGGAATTATAGCTCTTGGATCAGTATTCGGGATGACAGCAATGAGTTACCATGCATAGTTGTGTGTGTGTGTTTTAAAATTTGTTGTTGGCTTGTTTTCGATTCTTTTGAGTCAGGGTCTAGTTTTGTAGACCAGGTGTTCTGGAGCCCCCTATGTACCCCAGGTTGGCTCCATCCTCACAGCAATCCTCCTGTCTCTGTTTTCTAAGTGCTTGGAATAAGGTATGAACCACCACGACCAGCTCATTCTCTCTGTTTTGAAAGAAACTGATGCTCAGAAAGTTGAAAACTCAGCGGGGCAGTGGTGGCACACGCCTTTAATCCCAGCACGTGGGAGGCAGAGGCAGGCGGATCTCTGTGAGTTTGGGACCAGCCTGGTCTACAAGAACTAGTTCCGGGACGGGCTCCAAAGCTACACAGAGAAACCTTGTCTCAAAAAACAACAACAACAACAACAACGAAAACAAGAAAACAGAAAGTTGCAATTTATACAATGGAATTTATGGGGCCGGCAGTGTACGTCACTTGTTTAGCACGCAAAGCCCTGCATTCAATTTGTAGCACTATGAGAAAATAGAAATGCATTTACTACTGTATCTAATGCACATTTTCATCTTACCATTTCCTAGGCAAGAGCACGCGGTGAGCTGCAGCCTTCGGGAACACTGTGACTTCCTTAGCGAGCACTCATAGCTCTCCAGGGTTTAGTGGCCGCCCGTGGCTCCCCAGCGCCCACACTGGGACCCAGTACTGAGTACAAGAGCCGCCTCAGTCAGCTTCCTTCCAGACCTTTCCAAGGCTTCTGCTCGGCTGCATCTCCAGGAGTGGGCAGTCCTCTTCCAGGTTCCCTGGTTCTTGGTCTGTCTTGAATGTCGGGCCCGCACATTCCATACAGCTTGGGAGCTGCTTTGACCCCACACTTGGCGTGTCAGGACGTGGAGTGGGTTCTGTTGTGGGGAAGAATGCTCTGAAGGCCTGGACAGCTCTTTGTTCCTTGTGCCTACCATGACTCTCTTCCTTGCCTCTCAAGGTCACCTGATAACTGTCCATCTCCACCCGGAAGTTACCTGCAAGGGTTCTCTGCTCTGCTTCTGCCTTCAAGTGAGTGGGTTGTCACCATGAAGCAGGCAGTGAAGGCTTTCTGGAGAATGAGTGCTAACCAGTGCTCCCTAGAATCCAGCCCATCCTGCTGTAAGCACCCCAGGTTTGGAGCATTAGGAAAAGATACCAGAGCAGTAACTTTCAACCTGTGAGTCTACAGCCCTTTGGGGACCAAATGACTTTTTATAGGGGTCGAATATCAGATATCCTGAGTATCAGATATTTATATTATGATTCATAACAGTAGCAGATTACAATACAAAAATAATTTTATGGCTGGGGATCACCACAGTGTGCGGAACCGTATGAGAGGCTGGCAGCGCTAGGAAGGTGGGGAGCCTCTGCCCTAGAGGCCAGCCCCGCT